ATTGTATTAGTTATGATTCTCCCACAGGACTGTTTAAATGTTATTCGCGCATAAAGAGTACACCATAATAAATAAAGTGTCTTGTGATGCCACATTGAACTAAATACTTCACTGTAAATGCAACTGATTCTTGCCCAAAAATGCAGTGACGCTGCCACATGAAAATTTGTGGTGTCACAGAATTTCGCTGAAGAAGAAAATAGACATAATAACGAGGCGGAATTTGTGCTATCGACTTGCAGAAGGGATTATCGCTGCCTGGAATGCCCGCAAACCGGGCCGTCCCTTGAGCTTACAACGGCGGAGCCCTTAAGTAGCCCCTCTACCAAAACCGTGAGTTTAACAAAAAGTTAAAGCATTGGAACTAACAACGATTTTGTGTCAGTATTGGTTTAACCGATTCTCCTGGTATTATAATAACTGCGCCTTTCTAATATTTAAAAATGCAGACACTTTTTCGGTCATACTTGCGCCTTATTTGTCACTGGATCTCCAGGCTAGCTCGGGTTAAATCAAGCATTTTTCTCCAAATAGAGAATTAATCTTTCGCTTCCGTCCTTCTTTTTTCCAATTTTCTACATATAAGAGGGTACTTTAGGCTATTCCGTTTAAGCTGGCAAATAATGCCACATGCAGCTTATTGATATATCAAAAAGCATCTCTAGACCTAGTTCCCCTTTTGCCTTCATGTGTAAGTACTTATAAAATTAAGTCTTCCATCCAACCCCTTCTATTCTTTTGCTCTTAACAACTCATTCTACGCCTTAATTTAAAGTAGCTGCATTTTACTTCTGCTGTGCACACCCTCGGCTCGACCCCCGCATCTTATTGATTTTTACGTCCGATGACTGCGCAGACGCACGCTTGCGATTCACACCCCCGTGAGAGTCCTTCCTTGCAATCAATAATCGATAATCTCAGCTCCTAATCGTGCACGTGCGGGTTAGATACAAAATTGCTGAAACCCTCACTATGATGTGGTTCGTACAGCGGTAGAAGGATCTCCATACCGGTTGAATCCCCTCAGAAATTGGCATTTTTCCTGGGGGTGTTGCCTATGGAAAATGCATTTTCATTCATCATGTGGAGCGAATTCAACCATCCGCTTTCCGTTCTTCTTTAATTGGTCATTAAAACAATTCGAGCATTAAGATTGGGCAAGCGTTATTGTCAAAACCAATTCTTTTTTGATTAGATTCTGCTAACTGCCCCCGAGCTTCTGATTTCTCCATCAATGAACCATTTTTACTAATTTATCTCATTGAAACCTAGCATTAATTGGTTTTTAGGATTTCAGTTCAAACCAATCACAATTAGCCAGTTATGTCAATTTCATTGGTTTATTGTGCCAACATCTTGTTAATTAGTTGAATTGTCCTGCCCTTTATCAGATTAGCTGGTACTACAAAAATTCATAAAATAATAAAATAAAACAAATGCATTAAATCAACAGGCCCACAATTTTACTTTAATTTTGCCTCTTAAATGCCAGGTAAAAAATATTATAAACTATTTTAAGCCAAAATTTTCCATTTGGGTTTTGGAATGAGTGTGTGGATTTGCCGACACGACTTCATAACTCATTTGTAATTTGTCACCTGTGTGCCAAGCCCCCAATGAACACAAGTAGGCGTTTGTTTATTTGCTCCTAATATTCTTTTTAAAGCGAAGATGTAACTCATCAAAAATTCATCATTTTATGTAATTTTCAATCTACAGGAGAAGCTTCACTTCTCCTATTTCGTTGTGGAAATAAGGTAGGCGGTTATCATGTAAAAGTTGGAAACAAGCTCAAAAAAAAAATTGTACCTAATTCTAAAATGCAACAAAATTGAATCATAGCGAATCATTTTTGCATGAAGAGTTGACCAGCAGTTTGTGGTAATTGGCAGGAGGTTTGGAAAGGCAGGTATGCGTAAATGTTAAAACAAACTTCTACTACTTTTGAGGAGGGAATTGTTGAAGTACCCTGATCAAATTTAATGAGTTTCATTTGCATGAGTACGGCAATCTCACGCACAAATTCATTTGCCGTTCTAAAAGGTACTAGCAACTTTTTGAAAACAAAAGCATGTGAGGAATTAATCATTTTCTTACACTCTATCTTTCCTTTGTTCATGGGATATTCATTTTAAGACTCCATTAGCTGAGTTGTTCGCGAAGGCGCCATCCTGTTTTAGTGGATTTACCAGTCTCTCACTCATCCAGTCTAGCTAGGCTGTCTTCCGTGACACCTAGATAGAGCCAGCATTGTCACACATTGTGTGAACACTTCTGCTTCTTGAGGTTTGACAACTTCCACGTCGTCGGACGTGATAGGCGGTGCTTGTATGAACACTCCCCTCATTTCG